GCACCCCCTAATACTGCTTTATGTTTCCCAGGCCTGAGTCCCTCCCAGAGACCTTTCCTTCTGTAAACAGTCTCTTGTGTTCAGATATTTCCTTCTGTTCCTTTTAACCTTTAAGCCTATGTTCCTTTGTGGTCAGAGCATTGTGCACACCTGTATGACAAAGGCCCTGCCTGAGGCCTACAGAGGCACCTTGTAAAGAGACAGGAAGGAACTGTCCCCAACCCACAGCCCCCCTTGGCCCTCCACTTTACCACTTCTGCAGGGGCTTCCTCTGTCCACAGTCACCTTGATGGCTGTGGGGAGCAGCCTGGGAGGCAGCTGCCCCAGGCTGTCATCCAGGGGTCTGAGAGGAGACTGCCTCAGGCCCCCACCCGGGCCAAACACAGCTCCTATGGCTTCACTGGTACCTGTAGTGGGCTCTGAGGGTGGCTCTAACCTCTGCAGTCACTGGGGGGGTTTTCTCCTGCCAGCCACTGCCCTCTCCAACATGCGCACACGTGTGTAGTACACACACATGCTCACATGCCAATGCCAGGCACCCTCTAGTGGCCCTAGGTTTTCTCATGGTTTCCTGATTATTTCCTGAAATCCACACACGTTGCAACAAATTATAGTTTTGCATAGGAGATGAGTATCCATGCTGGTTTCTGCTAGGCAGGAATTGAAAACCAAACCATTGTTCTGCATCTAAGATTCTGCAATTCTAGAAAAGTCAGTTCATTTTCAGTTTTTATGGAATTATTATTCAATTTTTCACCAACCTCCAATCCTGTAGACAGTTTTTGAGGAACTGATGAAGGAGATTGGTCCATGAAGACCCTGGTCTCCCCTTTGCGGTGACTGAGTCCTGCTGGACCTAAGAGCACACTTTCTGCTCAGGTTCTGATGACCACTGGCCATCTTGCTGTCAAGCCTCTGCTGTCTGTAGGAAATACTCCTCCTGGCAAAATTTGCTGTGAAATGCACGTCTCAGAGAGCAGAGCAGACTCAGGCAGTGTCCCGGGCCCTGTACATTCTGTCTTTTGGCTGTGCCTTGTTCTTCTGGGTGTAATGTGGAAGGTTTTGGACAGTGTCTGGAAGGGGTGGATACAGGCCAAGTATGGGCTGACACTGGAAAGGATGTGAGACAATGCAATCACTGGAGGGCCTGGAGCCTCAACCAGCAACCCCAGGACCCACAGGGTACAGGACCATATGACAGTCCCCATTCACCACCTCTAGTCCCCAGGACTGGGACATGGCGTCCGTTCTTGCCTCTCAGTCCAGATCCTGAAAAGACTGAGAGGCCAGGCCCAAAACAAATCGGTAGACTCTGCAGGTCTGTGTGCTGGGATGCTCAACCTCCCTGCCCGTTTCTTCTGACTAGGACCTTTTTCAAAGAAACCTTTCTGGTTTCACAACATGTCTGAGCTGGAAGGAAGCTTCAGGGGACACTGAGGCCCAGGGCCCAGTGTGACTGGTTCAAGTTCACGTGTAGCCTGGTCAGCACCAATTCCCCTGGGAGCTGCAGCACACACACACACACACACACACACACACACACACACACCCTACCTTCTTGGGGATGGGTGCAGAGGGAACAGCAGAGCTGGGTCCCTCAGATGGGAATTTCCCAGCAGGCCCCAGACAGGGAGATGAGAGAGCAGGAACCTGAGACCTTCTGACTACAGAACATAGTGGCTTTGTGGGCCAAGCCTTCTTAGGAGTAGGGACAGGAAGTTACATCACCAAAGAGTTCTGGAACACAACTGGTACAAGGTCCTATGTCCTTTGGCCCTCTCACCGAGATGACACCCTCTCCTTGCTCCCTGTGCCCCACTTTCCAATTTGAGGCATGGTCACGTCTCAGTGGCTGTGAGAGTGACGTGTGTGACTGACGATCACACCTATTCTTAGGTTCCTGCCACACCAGCAGCTCACAAGTTCACAATGGAATTTCAAGAAGTGTGAAAACTGCTTCTGCTAAATCTGGAAGAAGTTACAAATGCATTTTCTGAGGTTTCCACCCATTTGAAAAGTAAGTCCTTTTGGAAGCCGAAGACCCTGCCAGAGGCCTTGAAGTTAGTTTAAGAAAGCACGTGCTGATGCTGCCAGCCCAATCTCTACCATTTCTCGCCCATCTGACCTTGGAAGGGCAGTGCCCACAGCCCCTGGCCAGTCTGAGCCAACGTGAGGCCCTGTGTTTGCCCCTCCTCAGGATGCACACCTGTGGCACGGTCCCAAAGAAGGTCATCTTTCTCCCACCATGAGAAGCCCAGGACACAGAGGTTGCTGACTTCACTTCAGAGGTTCAGAGTACCCTGGCCCTTTCCCTCTTGCTGGCATGATGGAAGTAGCTGCTCCAGCCATCACAATACCTTTCAGGCAAAAAGGAGAAAGTAATGATGGTCAAAAGGGCACCTGTTCCTGGCCACTTGAGTCTGTTTCAAAGAGCCTTCCTAGTCTGGGTGCTGTGGTTCACACCTATAATCCTAGCATTCTGGGAGGCCAAGGCAGGTAGATTGCCTGAGCTCACAGTTTTGAGACCAGCCTGAGCAAGAGCAGGGACTCTGTCTCTAAATGTAGTTGGGCCTTGTGGCAGGTCCCTGTAGTTTCAGCTACTCAGGAAGCTGAGGCAGGAGGATCACTTGAGCCCAAGAGTTTGAGGTTGCTGCCAGCTATGACTCCGGCACTACTGAGGATGACAAAGTATTACTTTGTCTCAAAAATTAAAAAATAAAGAGCCTTCCTAGAGACACTTGGTGGGACACCCCACCTGAAAGAGCCTGGGAAGTGGTCATCTGTAGCTGGAGACATAGCCCCTTCTCCACCGTACTCAACAAAAGAGATGTCATGAAAGTGAGAAAGTGCGGTTGGGGCTGCAGAGTGCTCATCTTCTGCTAGAAGTGTCTGCTGATGGTGTCTGTCTCTGCTCTGGTGTTGGAAGAGCTGCTCAGTTCAGGTTCAGCACCCGGTGCCCAGACCACACTGCCCAGCGAAGCCTGCCTCTCCTTCTCTGTGCAGCCAGCAGGGCCAGTAAAGATCCCGCACAACCCCGGCCCTTGAAGGCTCAGTGCAGACAACAGAACTGAGGCTACACAGGACAAGAACAAGGGAGCCCTCAGCAGGCTGCAGGTTCCCTCCCTGAGTGTCCCCTGAGGAGGGGCTGGCACCAGGTCTGGGGGCAGCAGCCCTTGGCAGGGGCCTTGCATCCAGGAAGATGCTGAGGCATCTGCTCGGCCATGTGAGCCAATGCTGTCCCCTTCCAAAGAGCATGGAAGTTGCAGCCAAATCTAGCCCACAGGGTATGCTGTATGGCCGTGTCCCCTGTCACTCCTCCCTATGCACCTATGCGCCTGCTCCTGCATCTGTAAGCACCACCCAAAAGGCCCCTGCCCTGCCAGTGCCTTTCACCTGAATCTTCTCCCAGGGTCAGTTCCCACTTTTTTTCTTTACTGATGCCCTGGTGGGTGACCTGGGAGGCCCATAAAAGACTGCTAGAGAAGGGAGAAGGGCCACTGGGGAATGCCTACCTGCATAAGACACTTAGCCCAGCACAGGAGGCTCTCTGGGGTTCAGCAAATGATGATGGTGTCCACGGGGCTCAGCCCCAGGGCCAACGGCCATTCAACTTTCTCTAAGCTGGTATTCAGGGGGGGGTGGCTGCTTCCAACTTCCCTAGGACCCTCGGACCCTCACAGCAGACCTGTGCTTCCTCCAAGTCCGTGTTGGACAGCCCTCTTCCACCCACCAGACTTTTCAAACAATGAAGTGCTCCCTGGGGTGGGGTGGACCAGGGGCCACCCAGCCCCTCCCTCCTGGCCTTTCTCCCAGCTCTCCCAAGAGCCTTTCTGGTGATGGGGGTAACTACAGGCAGCAGTGCCCACTAGCACTGGTCCTCCTCACAGCCCAAAAAGCCACATCCTCTCAGGCACCCAGTGCCAGAACTGCCTTCTAGGAACCTTGGTGGGTGAGCCCCTCACCTTAGTCCTGGCCTTTTGGGGTGACTCCCTCCTCCCCCCAGGTTGGTGGCCCAGATCCACGATGAGCTGCTGTTTGAGGTAGAAGATGCTCAGGTGCCCAGGTTTGCAGGTGAGTCCAGGCTGTCAGTGGAGGTGAGAGGACAGTTGATGTAGCCCTTCCCCTGCCTCCTGCTGCATGGTGCCCCAGAGCCAAGCTGGCTGTGGAGCCCTTGGAATGCCCAGGTTGGCTCCAACCCAGGCCAGCACCCTTCAGGGGGCACCATGTGCTCTAGAGCAAATGTGAGCTCCAACGGGTGGGTGGAAAAGTGAAGGCCACAGGCCTCAGAGCCTGGGGATCTAGAGAGGCAGGCCCTGGGCTGGGCTGTGGAGCTAGCAAGATTTTGTTGCTGGGGGTGGAATGACCAGCACAGTCTCCAGGCCAGCTTTACCCTGTCCTCAGCCCTCCCTGCTGAGCCATTGTGCGTGTCACCATAGCTGTCAGCCAAAGTGTTTCTTTGAAGCCAGAGAGCAGTGGACCAGGACCCCCTAACACTCAGCCTCTGGTCCTGTGGAGGGTCCAGTTCTGGCCTCACTGTTGAGAGGGTGAGAGCAGGCACCGCTGGGGCCCATGGCTCCCAGCAGGGTCTGTAAGCTGGAGCATGTGCTAGTCCCCTGTGATAGCACCATGCTGGAATGGTTCTAGGGGGAAGGGGCCAGTGTCAGCAGGGCCTATACCAGCTCTGAAGGGCTGGGTGGTCAGGACAGCCACATTGGTGCTAGCTGCAGCAGCCATGCCCCTCTCTGGGGGTCCCAGTACCCTTTACACCAGTGTGCCCCGCCCTACCCGGTTTCAACTTTCCCTATAGGAAATTCTAGACAGCCCTGCAGCTCCAAGGGTCCCCACTGTGCACAGGGCCATCTGCCCCCCTGCAGCCATGGTGACCACCTCCCCTCCCCCACCTGCCACCCTGCACTGCACAGAGGGGGAAACTGAGGCCCCTGGGCAGCTGCTGGCCCTGTTCAGGCACCCCAGGGACTGGGGACCAATTTTCCAGGGAGACCTCTAGCTCCATGGGGCAGGAGAGGGGATTGGAAAACAAGGCAGCATCTGGCCCTGGCTTGCATGTTTCTGTCATAGTCTTTGCATTGAGGTGTCATGTAACATAGAAGGGGCATGAGGAAACTGAGAAACACTGAGCTAGCCTGTCCCGACCTCCTCAGCCTAGACAGTACTTTGCACAGGGCTCTGAGCTCCATGGCCCCATGGTGACCTGGGGCCCATGACAGACCATCAGCACGAAGCTACCCTCATGGGTCAGAAGTGGTGGGATCCCAGGCGCTCATATGTATGTGCCAAGGCGATGCTGGTGGGTGGGAGCTGCCCTGTCCAGCTCTCTCCATCCCTTAATACTCATCACCCCCACTTGGGCAGCCCTGGCTGGCATGAGCTGAACCTGATGGGTGAAGGGTAAGGACAGTGTGGTGGTGGCCGGCCCCTGTGGCTCAAGCGGCTAAAGCGCCAGCCACATACACCTAAGGTGGCGGGTTCGAATCCCCAGCCCGGGCCCGCCAAACAACAATCATGGCTGCAACCAAAAAAAAAAAAAAAATGGCCGGGCGTTGTGGTGGGTGCCTGTAGTCCCAGCTACTTGGGAGGCTGAGGCAGGAGACTCGCTTGAGCCCAGGAGTTGGAGGTTGCTGTGAGCGTGATGCCATAGCACTCTACCCAGGGGGATAGCTTGAGGCTCCGTCTAAAAAAAAAAAAAAAAAGGACAGGGTGGTGGTGTGGACTGGACCAAGGAGAGAGTCTGCAGGGAACTTTCCTGGGCCGTGGATATGGGTGGAGTGACTAGAACCAGGGTTGGGGGCAGGAAGCACTTCAGGGGCTGCTTGTGGGCACAGGAGGCCTCCAGAACTGGTCCCGGTAACAGTGCAGACAGTGGCAGGAAACACCCAGGGGTGGAGGCCAGGGTAAGCCTATGGCCAGGAAGGCCCCAAGCCTGGGAGGCCAGCAGGGCCTTGGTGCTCTCTCTGCCCAGCTCTCGTCCAAGGGACCATGGAGTCACTGCAACAGGTGCGGGTGCCGGAGCTGCAGCTACAGGTGAGAGGTTCATCCCAGCCAGGCCTCCTAGAGCCTGCCCAAGGTGGGGGCAGCTCCCCACAAGAGCATGAGCCCCCACCCTACCTCAGCATCACTGCTCCTAGGTGGCTTGACTATCATCTGTCTGAGAGAGGACCCACTGGTGCCCTTGGCTACCCCCACTATCTAGGGATTCTCCTGTGCCTATGGCCACACAGCCTCTGGCCAAGCCCACCTTCTCTGAGGCTCTCACTCTTGCTTAGGGCGGGGATGCTGGGCCCCCACCTGCCTCAGGCACACCCCCAGGTCATGCCCAGCCCTTGCTCCTGGCCAGTCCCCCTGCATTGAGGCGTCTCTGGATTGGGTCCTCGCCAGGAAAGACTTTTGGGTCACTGGGTGCAGGCTCCTCCAGCAGCAGGGGGTGGGAGGGAACCAGCAGACCTGAGGCCCACTGGTTGCATGACAGGGTCAAGCAGCCCTTACACCCCACCTGGAGACAAGCCCAGGCCTACAGCAGGCAGAGACGTGGGGGCTGGGTGACCCTGGAAGCCCCACCCATCCCACCCTCCCGCAGGATCCTTTGGGACAGGATGCAGGGGGGCTACGGGGACACTGGCTGCAGCTGGGGGCTGGTCCCGCCCTTCCTGTCCAGAGGGAGCTGTTGAGGTTTTGTCCAGTGCCCTGGGCAAGAGCCCACTCAGGTTCAAGGTCCTCAGGAGGGCATCACTGCCTGGTTGGCACCTGGGAGCTGCCAATGGCCCCAGAGGCAGGGTCCTGAGGTGGCAAGTCCAGATAACCCAGAATACACCTCACCCACCCAAAGGCACCTTGCCTGGCCTGTCACTGGCACAGAGGCCCTGGAAGGTGGGAGGCCTCGTGACTAGAAGGTGGCTGTGTGTGAGCCTGTCATTGCTGGGTGGCAGCATGCGTGTGCACAGCCAACTGTCTGTGCTGTCTCTAATCAAGGGTCTTTGGGGTGTGTATGTAGGCCCCACCCACCTGCATTCAGGTCTGGGAGGTGGCTGGGGACCACTGGTCCAGGCCTGGGGCTCACCTCTGGCTGCCACCCACAGGTGCCCCTAAAGGTGAACCTCAGTGTCGGCCACTCATGGGGAAATCTGGTGCCACTGCAGGGGGCCCTGAGCCCTCCCCTGGGCCCACAGGGCACTGAGCCTCCCAGCAGAAGCCCGACCACCTCTGGGTCCCACGTCAGCACCTGCCCCCTACCGCCAGCGCATTTTTCTCCTTCATTTTGTCTGTAGCCTCAGGCAAGTGGGAGAGGCGAGCTGGTTTCCACCAGCCCATTGTGTGGCTTTCCCCAAGGTCACCAGCTGCTTTGTATGTTAACCCTTTGGGACTGGGTGGCCTTGTCATCCCTGGAGTAAATGCTCATGCAAAGCCATCCTTGTCTTTGTCTAAGTGAATTCTTCCCATGGGTGGGAAATGCCTTGTCCATGGCCCCCAGCCCCAAATCAGGAGTGTCCCAGCTCCAACCCAGCTGAGTGAGCACTCCCTGACCCTTTTCCTGTGGAGCTGGGGGAGGGGGCATCCCCCCTGAAGTGACAGAGACTCTTGGGTGCCTGTTTCCGAATGAGGGGCCTATTGGCTGGAGCTCACCTCCATGACGGGGGCCACCAAAGGCCAGTGGGGTTGTCAGGGGTCTCTGGAGTACCCTCCCAGGGGAACTCACACAGACTCTCCTGGCTGGGGGGCCTCCTAGTAGTGGATACCAGCCTGCAGGACAGCCTTGACACAGGCACCAACATGACCCCCTTGCCCATAGGGAAACTGAGGCACCAAATTTCTGCCACATCCTTACTCAGCACCATGACTCCCCTTCTGTGCTGTGTACCAGTCCCTGGAAATGTGCCCCTGGGGTCCTTTTAGACCCCTGTGTCTGACCCACTCCCATACATGCCTCACCCAGGTCTGGGTCTGGGCCTGGGCTCAGTGCCTACCCCTGGCCGTTTAGGTGGTGACTGTCTCGTGTGCTGTGCTCCCTTTGTGGTCCTCCCGCACATGCATTGTCTTTTCTGGCTGACTTCAGTAGTCACAGTGGATGGTGCCCCAGTGCCATTTCTCCATCCACTCTCCATTCAGCGTACATTTGTTGGGCAGCTGCGGTGTGTCCAGCATAGGTGAGGTCCAAGTAGGACAGCCATGTATAGACCACAGCCCTGGGCTGGTGCCATGCCACCCTTGCCCCCCTTGACCCCTTCTGAGGAGCACCAGGCACCTGCCCCTGGCCTGCACAAGTGCGTGTGGCCGGAGCCAGGCAGCCTCAGCAGAGCATCTCATGTAGAACTGGCGTGTCTAGCCGATCAAGCAGGAGTAAAGGCAGCAGTACCTTTCAAAACAAACCACCCAGCTGTGCCCCCAGCTTCCAGATCCACTGGCCAGCTGCAGTCATGGCTAAGATGATCCCAGGGATGGGCTCTGCCACTTGTTACCCAAACCTGGGCAGAACTGCCTAGCTCCCTGTGCTGGCCAAGAGAGGCAGTCCTGGACTGGCCTTGCCCTTTGGAAGGAAATGTGTGGAGCTCAGGCTCCTGGACCAGAGGGCCTGGGAAGAGGGCCAAGAGGACCCCAACAAAGAATGCTGCCAGAGCAGTGCCTGTGGCTTAAAGGAATAGGGCGCTGGCCCCATATGCCAGAGGTGGGGGGTTCAAACCCAGCCCTGGCCAAAAACTGCAAAAAAAAAAAGAATGCTGCCAGGAGGTCTGGACTGCTGGGTCTGAGCTCTGGGGTCTGGCACCCTGTACCTCACTATCCCCCAGACCCTATCCCAGTCCCCTTGTGTGCTGCAGTCCACCAGCACCTCCTCACCACCCAGCAGCCCTCAGCTACCATTAAGCACCCCAGCCATCCTCCTTCCCTCTGTACCTTGGGCTTCTTACCCCTGACCCTGGTCAGCCCTGACACCCATATATCTGGACCCCAAACCTCACCCCTGCCCAGAGCTGAGCTGTTCCTCCAAGGTGGCAGGCAGGCAGATGCCAGGACTGCAGTGATAGCACCTTCCAGGGTGTTGGAAGGCTGGCACACCAACGCCCCACATCCTAGCACCCACAAGTCCTGGGTCTCAGCTTTGAGGAAACCCAGGCTCCTGGGCCAGGACAGACCAGGGGGACCTGGTGGGCTGGCTGGATTGGATTCCCTACTAGGGGCATGAGGACAGGAGGGGTCCAAGGACTTGTCTTGGCTGTGCCAGGAGTTTGGGTGCCCAGGCCACAGCCAGAAGCTGGGAGAAGGCAAAGCCCCTGGGGTGCTGCTGAGCTCATGGGCTGATGCTTCCTTTTCTTTCTTTTTTTTTTTTTTTTTGAGACAGAGTCTCACTGTGTCACCCTCGGTAGCGTGATGTGGCATCACAGCTCACAGCAACCTCAAATTCTTGGGCGTAAGCGAATCTCTTTCCTCAGCTTCCCAAGTAGCTGGGACTACACGCACCCCTAGTGCCCAGCTATTTTTTGTTGCAGTTGTCATTGTTGTTTAGCTGGCCTGGGCCGGGTTTGAACCTGCCAGCCTCCGTATATGTGGCTGGTGCTGTAACCACTGGGCTATGGGCATCAAGCTGGATGCTTCCTTTTCAACCTGCCTTGCCCAGGGCCACAGGCTGCAAAGCCCCCCACCCAGCTCCAGGCCCCAGGGACCTTCTCCAGATGATGCCCTGGAGACGGAGACGGGGTGCCTGTGTGGAAGGGCCTCTCTGCCCACAGGTCATCTAAATCCCACCCCCTGGATGTGCCATGTCCTCCAGGGTCACAGGCAGGAGAGCAGCCCAGGTTGAAGGGTTGGAAGGGAGCAGGTAAGAGGGGGACAATGGGGAGGGGTGGGGCCCAGGTAGTGGAGGTCATCCCAGGATACCACTGCAGGGAGCCTTGTGTTCCCAGAAAGCCAGCCCTATGCGTAGGACAGGAGGCACCTAAAGAAAGCAGCAGAGCCAGGTCCTTCCACTCTGGTTTTATTGAAAACAGCAGCATCGGGGCCACGCAGGGGGTGAGCACCATCCGCCACAGTCTTCTAAGACCAGCAACTTGTACTGGCCCAGGGGCTGTTTGGCACATCCCAGGGTCTCAGGACACCCTGCCCATCTGGACTCACAGAACTGTTTCAAGAACAAACCCCACAAGTGATCCTCTCACTCACCATGGACCTGCCCTGGGGCAGGCAGGGCTCGGCCAGCACCCACATGGCTGCGTGCTGAAGGGCAGGAACCCAGTGCATCCCAAGCAGCCTCCCTGGCCACTATCACACATGTGCACACCGCAGGTACACGCGTCCTCACACAAACACATTTGCTCACACGTATGCACAGGTACACTGGCCAGTATACACAATCACACATCCATACATGCCCAGCACATACTTACACGCATGCTCACATACACACATGCTCAGTATACATGTACACACTTGCCCACACATACACACGTGTACACACAGATGCACTCCATCTTTGGCTAATTATTGCTGTTTAAAAATAATGTGCCCACCAGTGGTATAGGGGCTCCTTCCCTAGGCTCTGAGTAGCCATGCCACCACGCTGTGTGGACACCACATGCTACTGGAGCAAACACCCAGCCCGGGACTCAAACCCCAGAAGTGTCAGCCCAGGGACACTGGTCCACAGCATCAGCTTCCAAACAGACAGGTGAGGCTACAGGGACACGGGCAGCACCACAACGCCATGCCTCTGCACAAGAGGCAGCAGCTCTCCACACTTAGGCAACTGTTTGGTGGCCCCAGGGTTCCTGCAGAGCCCCCGGTGACCCGCCCCCCCCCCATAAAGCCCAGTGCACCCAGAGCCCAGGTGCCTGAGGCCCAGCCCTGGAAAGAGGCTCTGGCAAGGGCCTAGGCTTAGGGCCACCTTGGGGCAGGAAGGTACAGGCCTGCTGGAGGCCAGAACAGGCCCCTGACAAGCTCCAAAAGCTCCCCAGCATCTGCTGGCAGCCCAGAGAGCTGTCCTCAGTGCCCCTAGCAGAATGGTGGTTGCCCAGGACCTGGAGGCCTCAGGCCTGCTGCCTAGGACTGCTGCCTCTGTGCAATAGTTCTCAACCTTCCTAATGCCGCGACCCTTTAATACAGTTCCTCATGTTGTGACCCCAACCATAAAATTATTTTTGTTGCTACTTCATAACTGTAATTTTGCTACTGTTATGAATCATAATGTAAGTATCTGATATGCAGGAGACCCCCAAAGGAATCACGACCCACAGGGTAAAAACTGCTGGCCTAGGGGCAGCATCTCAGCCACTCCCAGCCCCAGGAGGACACCAGAGAGAAGGAAGGTTGGGCTTGAAGTGGAGGAGTGGAGAGACACTACTTGGGGCCTTCCTGCCTCAGCCATGCAGGCCACTCACCCTGGCCCCACCTTCAGGGGTCAGCCATCTGCAGAGGTGCCTGGGTAGCAGCACACTGGGACCTGGGCAATCCTGGGTAGCTGTGAGGTCTGTGCTGCAGACCCATCTAATGCTAACATATTGGGACACTCCCCTTCTGCACACACCACTCTAAAAACAGGTTTCTCAACAAACAAAAGAAATTCTGGGGCCCCAGCCCCCTGAGCAGGGCCAGGAGAAGCAGCACCAGACACAGGGCAGCCAGGCCCGTGGGCGCTTCACAGAGGTAGAAGTAACATCCAAATTTCTACAAAGGTACAGAATTCATGTTAGTGCACAACTGTAGAGCACTCAGCTCCCTGGCTGGTGGAAAGAAGTGGCCAGGGCAAGGCCCATCCATCAGCGTGTCTAGCCTCCAGCCAGGGTGCAGGGGAGAACTGACCCTGGTGGCCCTACAGGACCCAAGAGCTGCATGCTGGTCTGGAGAGGGCTCCAGGCAGCTCAGTCCTGGTTTGGCAGGTGCACAGCTGCCTCTACCTGCTTTGGTGGCCACGCAGCAGGGCTCCCTCCTTACACCCACCCACCTCACCCTTCCTGGCATCTCCACCAAGACCTGGCAATAACAAAAAGGTCAGGAGTCCAGCACCACCCCCTTGGCCCTGCAACCATGGACCCCTCACAGGCAGACAGATGCCATTAGAAGGGCCACACCACCACGGGACACTGAGCCCATCCCAGGTACACGTCCAGGAGACACTGGCAGCCTGCAGGCTCTGCCTAGGCCTGGGCCAGCCACACCACAGGGACTAAGGGCCCTGAAGGCACAGGATCCAAGAAAGCCAGCAGGGCCTGAACTACCCACCCAAGAGACACACCTCTCAGCTTCACTGGGCCCAGACCACCAGCAGATCCCAACGCATCCCAAGCCAAACCCAAACCAAACAGAAAGAGGAAAAAGGCACAACTGTTTGTTTTCCATTTTGCTAAAACACTTTACGTCTGTCTGTATAATCCAGATTAACAAAATCTGAGAGCTGCAAGAAAATAGGGTGCCGATTTCTGTACAGTCTACAAAACTCCCACCCAGAGCAGGGGCCGGGCACCACCAGGGAGGAATATACAAGGGAGAGCGGGGTCTGTACAGTATTCTGCAAATACCTCAATTGCTCACGGGACAAAATGCCCCCAGAAGCTAGGCTTGTTCCATTAATTCAATAATTTCTGAAGCACCTTTTTATGAAGGTCCCATCTGCGGCCCAGCACGTGGCGTAGTGCCTGGCACTCAGGTCTGTGGCCGCCCAGCCCACATTTCCCCGTCCCCGACCCCCACATCAAGGGGCCCAGGTGGGTCTCATGCCCCTCCAGCCAGATCCAGGCTGGATGTGTGGTCATGCTGTCCCTGCCTCCCCCTCCACTTCCCAGGCTGCTCTTTGCCCAGGACAATCCCTGCATCTGACGTAGAGAAGAGGCCAGGCAGCGAGCACAGCCAGCTAGAGTCAAGCTGGCCACCCCCAACCCAGGCCCCAAGCAGTCCAGCCTTGCCCCTGCGACCACAGGGACTCCACCTGGACCTGCTCCTCCACCTGCCAACCTGACGGCTGGAAGGAATGGTTGGAGCCTCCTCACTAACCAGCTGTAGTGGGCTGTTCCTGGGCAGGAAGCCAGCTAGCTCGGGGTCTCCCTCCAGATGTCACACTGTGAAAGCCTCACCCACCCGGCCACCTACCCTGTCACACTGGGCCAGACACAGTGCACATTCCAGCACCACACAAGATGTGCGTGTCTCAGGGTGCAAACTACCGTTTTGTCCCAAGAATTAAAGTCATGCAGAGTGCTATTCGGTCTAAATAACTTAGAAAATGGGTCAGTTTCAGGCTAGGAGAAGCTGTGGGCTGGGCATTGTCAGCAGCAGCCTGGGTTAGTGAGACACGTGGGGCAAACCCCACCAGCCAGGCACAGGGGTCCCTGGGGATGTCTGGGAGAAGCCACCATGATCCAGCAGGTGCTGGAGGCAAGGTGTGTCCTCCATGGGCCCCCACCCCTGGGTGATGTCACCAGCCAAGCCCAGGTGGGGGAGGGGCAGGGATGGGAGGGTGGTGATGCGCGTCAAAGCACAGCAAGAGTGGACGAAGCTGGGGCGGCGCGAGGTGGTCCAGGCCCCTCCAGAGAGCAGGTGGGGATGGGGAGCAGGGCAGGCCCCCTGTAGCCAGCTTGGGCTAGGACAGGGGTGCTCACCAGCCATGGACCTCAGGGTCCAGTCTGGACAGGGCAGCTGTGGGATGCGGTGGGCATGCGGCATGCTGTGGCCGGGCCACACCCTCAGCATGCACGTTGCAGAGCAGGGCCCCTGGACACCCGCAGGCCTCCCCACCAGGGCCCAACAGCTGAGCCATAGCTGGGGCCTTGTCGCAGAGGTTCTGTGCCTGGTGGGCAGGGCTGAGCCTTCCCAGTGGCAGCAGCTGGGCAGCCTCATGGACAGCTGCAAAGGTCCAAGGTGCAACTCTTCAAGGCGTTGCAAGCTGCCCGGCAGGCTGGGCAGGGTGAGGGGCCGTGGCTGCAGACAACTCACCCAAAGTGTCATGAAGAGCCACGGTCCCTGCACCCTGAGGCTCAGCTGGGAGCCGTGTGATGATGAGAAAGAAAAACCCAACAAATGCCGAGGTGAGGGTCTAAGCAGGGCCGCACTGGGCGGCAGGCAGGCGGGCATAGGTGGGCAGGGCAGCCGGGGCGGTGGGCGGGCAAGCAGTGGCGGTCACTCCTCACGAAGCTGCAGGCGGTAGCGATGGTAGCGGACCTGGAAGAAGAGGCGCTCAGCCAGCGAGAGGGTCATGCCAGGCAGCACGTAGTGGTCACTCGCGCCCATGTGTCTGAAGCCCAGTGACTCGTACAGCTTGTGGGCAGCCACCTTGACGGCCGTCGTGCCCAGCACCACGGCAGAGTAGTTGTGCACCACGGCGAACTCCAGCACCTTCCGGCCCAGTGCCTTGGCGATGCCCTTGCCACGGAAGCGCGAGTCCACAGACATGCGCAACAGCTCAACGGTGTTGTCCTCCTCATGGGCCCTCGCGGCCACGATGCCCACGACGTTACCGTCCAGCACAGCCACCCAGAAGCAGGAGCCTGCAGGGGACAGGGTAGTCAGGGAGACTCACCAAGGAAGGCCAAGAGAACCCCTAGACTGGGCTACACATCAGAATAACACCTGATCCCGCCAGCCCTGACGATCCACCGCCCGGCTTTGCTGGACCTTGGTTATGTGGGGAGACAGCCACAATTCAGGACAAGCAGGTCCAACTGCCTCCTTCAGACCCCAAGCAGAAGAAGCCCAGCGGCACCTGCAGTCTGGTCCAGCCTGCAACCAGGACCCACTCAGCCCTTGAGGCCAGATGTGCAGAGTCCTCCCCTAGCACTGGGAGCTGGGCAAACCTCGGCCAAGCAGGCCCCTGCCCAGCTACACTTGGACCAAACCCTGAATAGCCACAGGCAGTTGTGGGTGAGGCCACGCTGCTCTGGCTCACAGCCCTCGGGGGCCAGTACACTGGTCCCTGGGCACCCACATTGGAAGGCAGAAAAGGAAGGACAATGAAGGACCTGGCAGGGTGCTGGGAGGACATCTCATGAATCTAAGTGGGAACCTAGCCCACTGACCCTGGCCACTCCTGGGCAGGGAGCCTGGTGGCCAGGCCAGCCCATTCCCACCCACAACACAGCCCAATCCAAGCCTCCAGTCAGTAGAAGGAGGAGAGAGAGACCTAAGGAGCCCCAAGATGAGGGGAGCCTGGAAACCTCTCTGCTCCTATCCAGCACCTATCCAGGAGCCTGACCCCCTCCTTAAGGGGCCAAGTTCCCCCACAAAGTTCCATACCTGCTCCCTGCCTAGCTAGCAGCTTTCATCACCCCGGGAGCCCTACCAGCCCACTGGCTCACTAAGGGGACCTCTGTCTCCTCCAGTGTTGCACCCTGAGCCTGGGCATGTAGCTAAGATGGTGCTAAGGGCCCTGCCTCCTCACCCCCATCAGAAGCAGAGCAGGCGAGGTGAGCCACTGGGTATGGCTGCCAGCACCAGGACCCTGTGCATATTCCTCCAAGCTCTGAGCAGCTACATAAGAGTTCCCTCCCCTGCTCCACCCCATACCCCCACCTATAGTGTTTCCAGCTCCAAGGGGGCCAGTGCCCTCCTACCAGCTAGCCCATGCACATCCAGGGGTTCCGGCCTCTCTTCACCCATGCAGAACAAACCAGAGGTCAGAAAAGTGGAGGAAGTGACAGCCCCCTAGCACCATGTGGCCAGGCTTCAGTCTCCCCATGTGCATTAACAGTACTCACAAATGTAACAGAGCCTCTGCCCTTGTAGAGTTCTTGCAGACCCACCAGATGTCGTGGGAGGAGCACACAGGGACCCCCCACTCCCTCACATCTAGAAGGGTTAGGTCATGGGAGCTACTGTGAGCTGGGCCAGACACAGGCCTGAGCCTCTCAGCTGCTGTGCACTGGGCCTCATGCAGGCACCTCCTTCCCTCCTGAGCAGAGCCAGGAGAGGCGAGGGCCCAACAGAGGCTGTCCAGATGCTCTGTTTGGGTTTTGAGAAGGGTCAAGGAGAATGCCAGGCGCCAAGGCTGGCTGGGTGGGGCCAGGGGCAAAGGCTCAGCAGCTGGCAGTGCCAGAATGGCTGTCCTCCCCTGGCACTCACCATGCCCTGCCAGACCCTAACTTTCAGGGTGCTCAGTGGACCCTCTAGCACCTAGGAAAACCTCCTACCCTAGAGGACTGATTTTTCTCCCTAAGAGCCCTCATGGCCCTGCCCCCAACCCACCAGCCTGAGAGCAGGGATAGCCCCAGAGCCCTCCAGACTGTCCCAGCTCTTCATCTGCAGAGGAAGCCCAGGATCTTCAGAACCAGGCCAGGCAGGACCAGCCAGAGCAACAAGGCCCTCGTCCCTACTTCAGCAAGTGCTAGGCCACTGGGGGAGGACCCAGCCCACTGGAACCCACCCACAGCAGAAGGCCCTGGTCATGGGTACCCCCTGGGCCCTGCCCTGAGGTTGCTGGGGGGCTCTGCTTGATGAACACGGGGAGGGGTGGCAGAATGTCTCACCTGGTGGTTTCATGTAGTAGTGCTCGATGTCGGCCATGTCCGTGCGCAGCGCGCAGTCCAGGTAGGCACGGATCACCTTGTGGCTGTAGTAGTAGCGTAGGCCCAGCAGCCCGGCCGGCACCAGGCAGGTCAGCAGTAGAGAGCGGGTGAAGGCGAAGCAGAGCGCTGCGGGAAAGGAAGATACGGGGGGGTGAGCGGGCGGGGCCACGTGGACCAGGTCGTGCGGGAGGCCGACAGGGCACGGCTGTCCTCTCGGGCGGCGAAGCAATGGGCATTTTCGGGTGCACGCCCTGCTTTTCTCTATTTTAATACTCTCTGCCCTAAAGACACGCTACCTTTGCCTCCAGAAACAAACACTACAGGACCCTCAATCCTCTATCTGGTGGCAGCCTCTGGGCAAGCCATTCTGTGTGACGAGAGGGCCCTGAAGGGAAGGGAAGCAGGCAGGGGTACCCCGGCAGAGCCCCAGGGCCACTCTCTCCCTGGACCAGCTGCTGGGCGCGCCGGCCTCCAGCCGCATCAGGACTGCGGTGACCTTGGCAGAGTCAAGCTCCTCATCCGCAAAATGGGAGGATAGCCCTCCGCCAGGGGAGCTGCCAGGAGAGGCTCTGACGGACCCCCGGGTGGGCACAGTGCCCGCCCTGCCCTGCGCCCCCTCCCGCGGCGCCCCGCGGTGCTGGCTGTCTCCCCTCATAAATTAGCACGCGGAGCCGCCGCCGCAGCCTCCTCCGCCCCGCGGATTATATATAGTCACCGCGCCGGGCGCAGAGCCTCCACCGCCGCCCGCCCCGCCCCCACCGTGCCCGGGAGCGTCCCGCCCGCCGCCTGGCCCCGCGGCCGTTCTCACGCCCCGGCCCCGCTCCTCCTCCCAGGCCCGTCCGCGAGGTTGTCCTCCCGGACTCTGGGGTGGGCGAGCTTCGGGGAGTCCCGTACGGCGTCCCCATGGGGACCCTGGGCTCGCTCGGGCCGGGCCCCGCACAGGACTGCGGCAGCCAGCGCGCGGCCCCGGCCCCGGCCCCGGCCCCCGCGGCCCGCGCACTGACCCGCCAGCAGGGCGTAGAGCAGCTGTGTGCGCGGATGCTGCCGCAGGCCGCGGAAGGCCGTGTTGGGGATGCGCTCCATGATGCCGTCGTAGAAGATGCGGCGCGCCGCCTCCTGCTCTGCCGGGCGGAACTCGCGGATGCACACGCCGCGCCCCCCCGGAGGCCCTGCGCCCC